CTATAAGATGTAGCTAATTTGTCGCTGAAAGATGGTACTTCTACCAGTTTTGTCACTTCTGTAATCACAAATTTAGCGTCATACGACTGCGAAGTGTCGCTATAAACGTAGCGTATTTTTTAACAGAAGTGACACAAACAATTACTTTAATAAGGGCTATAAGATGTAGCTAATTTGTCGCTGAAAGATGGCACTTCTACCAGTTTTGTCACTTCTGTATTCACAAATTTAGCGTCATAAGACTGCGAAGTCTCGCTATAAACATTGCGTATCTTTTAACAGAAGTGACACAAACAATTACTTTAATAAGGGCTATAAGGTGTAGCTAATTTGTCGCTGAAAGATGGTACATCTACCAGTTTTGTCGCTACTGTATTCACAAGTTCAGCTTCATACGACTGGGAAATCGCATTATAAACATAGCGTATCTTTTAACAGAAGCGGAGTAGGGAAATATTCTAATAAGAGCTATAAACTGTAGCTAATTTGTCATTGAAAGATGGTAGTTTTACCTGTTTTGTCGCTACTTTATTCACATGTTGTACAGAGACATACGACAACATGGCGTATCTTTTAACAGAAACGGTGTAAAGAAATGCTCTAATAAGGGCTATAAGCTGTAGCTAATTTGTCGCTGACAAATTAGATATAGTTTATTACCCTTATTACAGTGTTTCTCTACGTCACTTCTGTTTCGTTTACAGTGGGACTCTAGTTGTTTTTCGCTGAACAGTTTCAGAATAGACTAGCGACAAAATGGGTAAAGTTACCATATTTCAGCGACAAATCAGCTACAGCTTATAGCCTTTATTACAGCATTTGTCTACGCCACTTCTGTTTCGAGATACGCTAAGTTTACAATGGGACTCTTCAGTTATTTTTTCACTGAACAGTTTATAGATAGGCTAGCGACAAAATGGATAAAGGTACCATATTTCAGCGACAAATTAGCTACAGCTTATAGCCCTTATTATAGCATTTGTCTACGTCACTTCTGTTTCGTTTACAGTGAGACTCTCCAGTCGTTTTTCGCTGGACAACTGGAGAATAGACGAGTGATAAAATGGGTAATAGTACCACCTTTCAACGACAAATTAGCTACACATTGTTGCACCTACAATACGTTTACGCCATTTCCATTTCGAAATAAGCTATGTGCGACAATTTTTTGGATTTGGTAGCAAATTAACGACAAATTATAGTGCATTTTTGTAATGATAAATCTAACTTTGTCGAGGTAGTACATTGCGTTGTTTTTAAATAACTATTAATACTGTCTTTTGTTTTATTATTCTAAAACAATACAATACGTGTACAATGTACATTGTATAACATCGGCTGAAATTTGACTCTTGCTGAATCACGGTGTGCCTTTTTTGTTTCTGTACTGCTATTTTTGCACCTGTTTATTGTCTTAAAAGAAAGAATTGAAGAAACTGCTAACTGCCTCGCTATTGATGACAATCAAGCGTTTCAAGAAGGTGCGTGCGGTTTTTGTTTTTATTATATCGTCTATTTATAGGTAGATTTTCTTGAGCCTACTTACTAATTTTTTAGTTCTGTTTCCATCTACCTACAATTTTAAGCGAACTGTATTTTTCTTTTGTACGTCCACATTTATTTGAAGTAAAAATAAATTTTGCAAAACGTGAATATTATTTTGGTACCTACTGATTATAAGATTCGTAGTGGGTACATTTGTACATGAATTTCTTAAAATATTTTCTGCTCTAAACGGATTGTTGACCCCTGGATAATAATACATTAATAAGAATAATGTTTTCTCTTTTTTTTATGAAAAATTTCCGAGTCATTCCAGACTCAAAAGATGATTTTGACTGAATATATGTACATATAGTTTAAGACAACAAATAAATTAATAATAATAACGGACCATGGTGACATAAGAAGCGTTTAAAGAACCCATAAACATATTTTAGGTTTTATTCATATTAAGGACATGAATCGATCATAGGAATTGACGTGTTGGATTAAGGAAGTGTTCGGCCAATTTAGCATAAGGATATTATTAATAGTAACCACACTCAATACGTCACAAGTGCTTTAACATTAGTACAATAAATAAACACAGTCATTAAGTTACTTATACATGCATGTAATGCCTAATACTTGCCTTCTGTTTGGTTTTACGTTTGTGTCTTTTCGACGCGTTCTAAGCATGTTGGCCGAACTCGACATTTTGATGTTCGCAGAAAACACTTTTTATTAACTCAACACAGTTATGTTTATTTTACGATTAGGCATTTTTTGTTTTCGTTAGAATTGGAATATATAGCAAACACCCATGCCTACACAGAATAGTCAAATGGGTAAATGATCTTCATGATGATTTTTATGCACATTGACTATGGAATGTTATTTGATGCACATAAATGAGTGATTACGATGTATTCATTACATGTTTTTAAAGTTCAGTAAAAGTAATGACAGGCGATCGAAAAAAAAACATGTTTTTTGTCCCAGTTGGAAAAATGTTTTCACTGACAGTTTTTTACGTATATTTTTCAACATTTGTTTTGTCTCTAGATGATTTATTAAAATTGAAGTCATTTTTATACGTAATTAATCTTGTTGGATGATATTTTTTGGTTCATCATTCTCTACTCGTTTTGATTTCTACTTCTGTAGAAATTATTGCTTTAATTCGTGGTTCATTTGTTATTTTGTAAACAATTGCTTTAAATTACTTTACTTTTTTATTTTTGTTTTTTTGTAATAAACAATTGCTACTGTTATTCTTGAAACGATTGGTTCAAGTTGCTGTTTTGTTGGTTNTTTTTTTTTTTTTTTGATATTCTATGACTTATGCAACTTTGTTTTCGTGATTTTCGTAGTTTAACTTCCTGTTAAATTCGATAATTACGAGAAACGTAAACATTTGTAAATCCAGGTTTCGAATTTTTCGCGATTTCCGTAAATATTTTGACGTTTTTAACACAAACAAATCGAAACCATTAATTCTGACGCACTCTTAGTTTGTTAATTAGCAAGTTTTTGCGTAATTTTCGTTCGTAGACTTCAAGGTTCTCAAAGTTGTCCCAGTTAACAAAATCCACACTCAAATCTTTCTTCTATCACTTGAAAATATTCTTTGATACCGTATAAATAAGTTATTCCACTTGTCCGTGGGTGCTTCACTCGAAATGGAAAACATGATTTTGTACACTTTTCGTACTTTCTACCGCTTACATGTCTTTTTTCGTCTGCTATAGCACCGATTACTGTTTGAACTGAACCGAGAGACTCAAAATGTTTATTATATCTTGAAATCTAATTTTATCTGACTTATTTTCAGCGCGAAGTCAAGTCAATTTTAAAACTCACTTCAGACCAATCGCAGAGAGAAAAATTCATCTAGTTTGCGAATTAATATGATTTTCTTTAACTTAAAACCAGCTTAACTTTTCCACTTTTTCTAGTAGATTTCTCAGAAACTAGCAATCAATCTTTTGGGAATACTTTTTGACTGGTATGTCACTTACGATTTCTAAAAGTGTATTTTCAAATTCTTTATTACTAGACCTTTCCAACGACACCACACATCATAGACATACATACATGCTCCACTTGGAACCCCAAAAGGTTCCCTGAAACATACGAAATAAAGTTGATCAGAAAAATCTAGTTTTCAATAGTGAGCAATGGCATCATTTTTTTTTTTTTTCAGGAACAATATGGACCGAAACAGTTGAAAAATCCACGGACGCAGAATATGATGAATACGATGATTACGAGGGTGACACGGATGATTATCTAGATCCAAATAGTTTAAGTTCTTCTTCAAACGGTAGAAAATAAACAAATGAATTGTTTTACGTGTATTTATTTGTTTTCTTCTACAATTGCGCTTTTGTTTTTTTACAGGGTCCATTCAATTTGTAAAAGAATTGAACAATATAACAAGAAGTAGCGGTAAAACTTTGAAGCTCAAGTGCGAAGTAAAATTAGTTGACCTTAATTCGACAAATTCGAAAGTTAATTTTACGTGGTACAGAAATTCTGGTCACTTGCCAGAAGACTCTAGGATTACTGTAAAAAACATACAGGTGACATTATCGCATTATTAGCTAAATAGTTTTTCGAAAACGAAATAGAATTTCAATTGTTTCAGAAACCCGATGCTCACACTTTCATATCGAGATTAAAGATAACAAATTTAGACTATTTTGATAGGGGCATTTACGATTGCGTGGCCAGTAATGGCGCCGACAAAATTAGAACTCAGGCATTCTTAGAAATAAACAGAGACAATATAGGTGAGTTTCATATCTGGGGGTGGGGGGTTAAAAACGATAAAAACAATGTATAAGACCGGGGCCATTTTTAGGTCCCGTCCCCGAAAAAGTACCTGCATATAAAACCACTTTTGATGATAGCGTTATCAGGGAAAACAGGTAAGTATTACCATCCCCCTTCGTTAATTCAGTCGCCCCAATTATAATCCCCACATTTTAGCGAGATCGACATGACAGAAACGACATTCTTCCCGGGCACTGACAGAAGGGGCAGGGATGAGCTCATAACCGCGATAACCAAACCCCTTTTGCCAACCCTTAGCGAGCAAACGGTCGGCAACCCTGCACTTTTCGATCAAAATGGGACGTCAAAATCGGTTGCGGAAAAAACGTATTACAACAGCAGCGAACCGTTTTGTCAATTATATGTTGGAAAGTCATGCAAAAACTTCTTGGAAGGGAAGTACGTTTTCATACAACCCCCTTACACTCAAAGAAACATCGAAGAGAAACTTGAAAATGCATTTTTAGTGATCAGGCAATCAAAGTAAGTCAATCCTTTAAGTTGTCCAAAACTTAAAATGTCATTTCACAAAAACAAATTTTCTATTCATTTTTTGACAGTTGAAATTGTAATATTTTGTTTTTTAGTCAAATGTTTTTTTTTATCAATTGTTTTCTACCTTTATTTTTTCTTTTGTTTTTCTCTCAATACCAAATGTCTTTCTTTAACGGCCCCCTACTCTATTTTTGTCCATTAATTCCTATTTCTCTTCAGTGACATTTCGTCAAGTTGCGAAAAATTCGCGTTGCCCAGTTTATGTTTTTCCGCGTTTCCCCTGTGCGTAGACGCAAACAGCGTCAACAATTACCAAGAAAGTTTCATCAACAAATACAAAGTCCTATCCGAAAAGAACAAGCAGTCGTTCAAAGATTTGCGGAACCAGCTGGCAATGTCCTTGCAGAGGATTTGCAAAAAGGATTGCGAACTCCTCGAGAACGAACTGTGCAGCAAGGAGTACGCCATTGCGAAGAGGCATCCCGTCATTAGGCAGACTCTCGAATTGGAAGAGTGCGAATATCTCCCGGAGGAGAACGAAAGGAATTCCCTCTTCTGCTTGAGATTGGGAGTAGATCGCACTCATAGCGTCAACGAAGACGACACTTGCTTTTGGGATAACGGGGAACTGTATAGGGGAGTACAGGAAGTCAGTGTAACCGGCAGCAAGTGTATTAGATGGTCCCATCAGTTTCACATCCCATTGTCCGAACATCCGGAGCTTTCTGGGCACAGTTTCTGCCGGAATCCCGATGGAAAGGAAATGGAACCTTTCTGTTACATTGACCAAAACAAAAAGGAACTTTGCGGATTACCGAAATGCGCCAGGATAATTGGAATTTACATAGCACTGACTGCTGTCATCTTCCTGGTTTGCGTACTGGTGGTCCTCTTTATTTTCTGCTACAAAAAAAGGAAAGCGAAAAAACCAAATTTACAAAGCATGAACATTCCGTCCGCGGACAAAAACATTTACGGGAATGCAGGTCCAAATTCTCCGATGGAAATGAACAGTCTTCTACCTCAAAGGGGAAATTCGTTCCCTCCGGGCGTCTCCCTTCGGGGACAGGGGATGCCCAAGCTCAGCTTCCAAAGTGTTCCCCAGTATACGTACAAAGAGCTGTCGTTTGTCGAAGAATTGGGTGAAGGAGCTTTTGGTAAGACAGTTTTTTTATAATTGTTTCTAGGTCACCAATTATTTATTTATTAGAATGCCTTAAATCCCCAAAATCCCCGGAAAAGGTTAGAAGAACTCTCATCATCCTATTTATTAAAAAATTTGGCAAAATCGTTCCAAACCCAAGAACAATGGGCACATTTTAAAATTCCTGAAAAATATTTTTAATCCCAAAACAGTTGGGGACTTCTAAATTTCCAAAAAAATAGCATCTCTTTCATTTACTTCAAGTCCAACACGTTTTTGGTAAGTTCCAGATCGACCAATAGACCTTTACCTCGACACACATCCCACCAAAGTCCCTTGGTAATTATAGATCTTTGGGAACTGCAACTTCTCCAAAACATATTATGTCTTATCTTCTACAAAGGTCTTAAGAAGATTTTGGGGGCTTTCAAATTCTTTGTACTTGTTCCCCATAAATCTAAGGAGATTTTGAGACAAACTTTAAAACACTAAGTACCGAGTATTCCAATCAAAATCCATGTAAATGGGTCCAGTACACTTAGGGCTTTTAAATTTCCAAAAAATAGTATCCCTTTCATTTGCCACAAGTCCAAGACGTTTTTGGCGTATTTCAGATCGACCAGTAGACATTTACCTCG